ACGTTACAAAAAAACTTGACAATGTCAATTGATCATTTCGACGAAACGTCGAGAAACTCACGCAATAATTTTGATGTGATGAACACCCTAATTAACTTAAGCAAAATTCTGGAAATCATTATTTCAGACAAAATAACAACATGAATACCGATCTACCTATTCTTGGACATGGAATTGAAATTACCCCAAATTTGGGAATTCAAATGCAACACTCAGTATACAAGTGGATTCAGCACATCATTTTACATAACAATATCAAAATTTTGGTTAAAGTACTTCGCAGTACGTTCATTTCGAAAAAATGCATATTGAAGTGAATCAGTTTTTTGATGCGTTTTCATTTATCAAAAGTAGGCGTTGAATAAAAATGGAACGAAAGACGTATCTATCAACCATTTGATATTCGAATAAGTTACTTTAATATTCAGAGGTATATTGTAGTATTGGTGTTGAAATTATCGTGATTCAAATTATGGAAACCTTCACGCGTAATGAAAATATTGATATGCTTCTCACTCATGATACCTAAATGTAGAAAAAACTCCACAGCAGTAGTCGTCATATTCACTGAACGTTACCCAGGAAGGTATCAACCCAACAACCAACAAGACACTATTTCGAGGAACTGGAAAAGAATTTTCCTGACCAAGCAGACGAAGATGATATGGTCATTGTAAGTGAGGACAAAAAAATACATGTGTAAGTTTTATTTGACTTGAACAGAACAGTGTGCAATTGAGAAATTGCTTTGGAAGTTGATACTAGTCATTAGCCTTTGTGAAAAACACAACTTCCTTTCATTAAAATATCAACTTCATCAGAAGTTGTATGAAAATGATTCTATCCGACGATAAAGTCTTGTTTTACGAAAAATGGCATGTTCATTAGAAATAATACTCGCTATTGGGCATATATAGAGGAAGACCGGGTAATGGGAATCACCGGGCAATGATAGTCACCAACATATCTCAAAACTATAACCGCCAGAAACGCGTTTACTGCCGTCCCCTCTCCGCTATGCTCCCCTGCTAGCGCTGCGAGCGCGCCGCCCCAGTATTGCGACGGTCTAGGAAATGACGATTGAGTTTTGTTTTTATGGCTCGCCGATGAAAACTTTTATGGAGACAAAATAAACGGTAAGTATTCTAATTATTGATCTACTAGCATGTGACTTTTTAACGCTTTTACTCTTACATTCAATGTTTATGATGTATGTATGTATATGATGTATGTATATGTATGATTTCATACTCAAATCCCGAGTATTGTTTATATATTTTTTGTGTTTAATTTTTTTTCTTCATAAAATACGTGTGGGTAATGAGGATCGGGTGACCCCCATTGCCCGCTAGTGATCACGATTTCCCGCAATGTAAAAAGGCATACTATAATTTTGTTATTCTGCTTTTAGATGCCGAAAGTACGAGTTAGAACTACCACAAAAGCTTACTGGTCAGCTGACACTTCGAATAAAGCGTTGAAACTTATTGAAGAAGATGGGTTTTCTATACAAAAGCTGCTAAGGTTTCGACGTTTCGTTTTTGGACCACTTGAAGGGGCATATAAAAAAGAGTGCCACTTATATATGAAAAGTCACCTCGCAGAGAAGATCACACCTTATGAAGTAGCATCGTTATTGGGCAAGGCATTTAACAACGACAATAACGTTGCGTCCATCAGTTGAAGAGAGTCGGGATTTAGACCTACAGGTATTTATCCAATGAATCCCGACGTATTTTGTGATGAAGATTTTCTACCAGCTGAATTGTTCCGATCAGAAACTACTGCCATTCAAAACTTTGATGAGTCAGTTGCAATCAATAGCCCAGCGCCAGACCTAGAAAGCTCTTTAGTACCAGGCACTTCAATGCAAGTTGATTCACTGCTACCACCGACGCCACCAAGAACTTCTAGCGCCGTTGTCTAGCCGCTGGCCCATAAGTGGAAAGTGCCCCGATAGCACCAAATATTTGGTAAATATTTTCTTTGCATGAAATAAATATTTATATCTTTTACAAATATTTGTTATCTAAAACAAATATTTTTTAAATATTTATTTTACAATATTTCATTTCAAATATTCAATAAATATTTCCAATATATTCGAAAAGTAATATTTTATTAAATATATAGAACAAATATTCGATTTC